AAGTAAACGAGATAGACACGTGGTTCCTTTTGAGAATATGCATAGAATCACTTGCTAAGTCGATTTATGCAAAGTGCAGGTCGCATTTTTGATTCGAAGTGGCATAGATCACTTACCTAGTGAAATTGAGAAATATCGGTTCAGATTTAGGTATAGCTTCCACATATATTTTCGTCCGATTTTATATAAATTGTGCACCAAAACCCATATATATCTTTCGATTTGCACGAACTTCGGCATAGCGTATTAAATAAGTACTAGAATGATGTTTGTTAAGTTTCCTGAAAATCGGTCCAGATTTAGATATAGCTCCCACATATATTTTCGTCTGATTTAATGTAAATGGTGTACCAAAGTCCCTATATATCTTTCGATTTGCACGAAATTTGGCACAGCGTACTGAATAAGGTCCAGAATGATGTGTGTTAAGTTTCATTGAAATCGGTTCAGATTTAGATATAACTCCCATATATATTTTCCTCCGATTTAATATAAATGGTGTACCAAAGTCCCTATATACTTTTCAATTTGCACGAAATTTGTCACAGCGTACTGAATTAGGTCTAGAATGATGTGTGTTAAGTTTCGTGAAAATCGGTTCGGATTTAGATATAGCTCCCATATATATTTTCGCCCGATTTAATGTAAATGGTGTACCAATGTCCCTATATATCCTTCGATTTGTACGAAATTTGGCATAGTATACTGAATGAGGTCTAGAGTTCAGATTTATGTATAGCTCCTATATATATTTTCCTCCGATTTGATGTAAATGGTGCACCAAAGTCAATATTTATCTTTCGATTTGCATGAAATTTGGCATAACGTAACGAAATAGGTCTAGATCGTAGTGTTTTAATTTTCGTGAAAATCGGTTCCGATTTTGATATAGCTCCCATTTATAATTTCGTTCGATTGTAAGTAAATATGGTGCACCAAAAACCCAAAGTTAGGCCGATTAACGCAAAATTTTGCACAACGTACTGAAGTTAATATAACCTAGCGTGTGGAAAGTTTTGTTGAAATTGGTTCAGACTTGGATAGAGCTTCCATATATGTTTTCTCCCGATTTTAAGTAAATGATGCACCAAGAACTCAAAATACGGCCTATAGGCACAAAACATACTAAATTAGTGTAACTTAACCTATGACAAGATTCGATGAAATCGGTTTAGATTTCGATATAGTTTATATATATATATATATATATATATTCGTCCGATTTTAATTAAATGGTGCACCAAACTCCTCATGTTTATCAGATATTTATCCAAATAATCTACGGGTGTTCGATTTATATTTGCTTTAAATTAATTTACATAATTTTGTCCCATTGTAAGAAGCAATTGTAACAAGCCCAAATGTGTATGCGAAATTTCAAAGCTCTTCCTAAAATATTCTGTGCTCCATTCTAAATCGACATAGAGTTTAATTTAAATTAAGAATATATGTATACTCTAAGGATAGATACTCCACTTTACTGGAGGGTATAAAAAGACGGTCAATTTATTTAAAATCGGCCTTTGAGGCTTCAAATTGCATTTTTGAAAGAAATAAATAAATAAAATATACTACGGACTTCCGAGTTTGACATCAGTCCACATGTGAAATAAGAGCCCAATCCATAATTTCAATCTGTCCATATGATAGTGGCAATACAGTGCACTGATCGAATTTTCTCACTTCACACTTGAAAGGCTTCTACTACGTATTTCAAAATCTTCTTATATGACATTAAAACTCTGAGTATTAAATATATGGTCTGTTCCCGTACTGCAAGAATCTACTAGTTTTTACTATTTTGTTCGATATCATAAAGGAAAAAAGTGTTATCGTAGTAAAAATTAGTAGATTCTTGCAGTACGGGAACATACCAATAGTTAGCAATTAAATCGATACCAAAATTTTCATTTCATTTTGATTATAAGACAAAAAAATACAAGACTATAGAAAAACAACATATACATATATAAAAGAGAAAAACGCGTACACGTTTACCTTTTCTATGCCCTTTTTGCGATGCAACAATGCTGGGAGGTGAAATATATTGAATTGCTGTACCACCACCAGCACCCAGAGTACCACCCCAGATAGTGTCATAGCAAATCTGATGTTGTGGCAAAATGAAATATATCGACATTAATTAATGACAACGCCAAGAAATTATTGATGGTCAACATGAACCTATTAAAGACATGAAATGTGCAATGGACTTATTTTTAAAACAACGACAACAACAACACCACACCAAAAATAATAACAAATTGCATTAACAATTGACGTTGACGTCGTCAACGAAAAACACAAGCTATCCTGACATGGTGAATCAACTGGTGGTTGTAAAAAAATTGCTGCACACATGATGAAGAGTGTAATCTGCATATACCCTGCACCCAACACAACATCTTGGCACTGATAGCACCTCTCCAACGGTTAAATTTCCCTTTTCCCCTACTTGATTTGTCTTTTTTGATATTCTCTACTGTGACGTTAAATGGATGAATGCCAAAAATATTGCATCAAATTTAGTGGGTGACAAGGGGCTATGGATGATGTGTTTCCATTTGCCTGCCGCAGACGCACACACACATAAAGCTTTAATGGGAACATGTCAAACTGTGCGTACAAGAAATGTTTTGTTATTTATGTTGTTGTTTTATTTATAGATGTTAAGCACTTTCTTTGTTTTTTGCTCACCTGATTTGTTTTTTTACTTTTTTGCACTAATTGACTGAGAAATGAACTATTTTCTTAAGGTATTCTATAAAGAATTATAGTCTGTCTGTCTGACGTTCTGATGGATGTGTGTGTCCTTTGTCGTTCTGTCAATTACCGGCAAATTTTGTTTTGATTATGGATTTGTACCGGTTAATCGAATAGCGAAGTGAACATATGTTTGCAAATTTGCTAGAAATAGGGTTGCCACGTCAAATTTAATTTTATCGGAATTATTAAGCTCTATAAATTTCGAAATTATTAACAATTTTTATTACGGGGAAACACCTAAGAGTTGGAAATATCTTATAAATTTGTTTTTAATCCCGGAGAAGAACCTGTCAGTAGAAAAATTTATTCATTTGACCATAATATTGACCTTAATTTTACTGGCCAACGTCTGTCACCTCAGCCCATTGTTCAAATGGAATAGGGCTGCTACAACAAAACGAAACATATCAAAATTTCAACCTAAAATCAGCGGATGTCGACAGGTATGGTACAACAAATTTACCACCTTCGACAGGAGGAAGAAGTTTGGAGGGTTGATCCAAAAAATATAGTTTTGAACCAGAACTTTATTTTTTTTTTTCAATTTTCATTCGCTAAATTGGCCATTATTGGCGTTTTTATTTTTAATATATCGCTGTTTATGTAAGAACTTCCATATTTTGTCTATCAGAATACGGGAAAGCCCTTGAAAATGAAAAAGATGAGGTCGACAGATGAGGTCAACCAGCTGCAAAAATCCCTTCGTTGCTGCATATTGTTCAACATATAAGGTCTGTTCCCGTACTGCAAAAATCTACAACTTTTTACTACGATAACGAATTTTCCTATATGAAATCGAAAAAAATAGTAAAATCTATCAGATTATTGCAGCACGATAACGAATTTTCCTATATGAAATCGAAGAAAATAGTAAAATATAGCAGATTATTGTAGTACGCAAAGAGACTGTATGTCTCCCAAGTATCGGTGGCGGCTAAAAGTAATAGTGGGAAGGTTCGCAGAAATCTGAGACGACAAATGGACAAATAGTCGTAGACCTTGGAATATCCATAATTGACAAATGTGATCCCGAAGGACGTGTCTGTGATTGCTACTCGACCATTTTCCCTAATGAGCAAGGTTGACCATTAAAATTTGCAGTTTGTCAGGTCATTTAGAGATGGAGCTGTAATGCGGGTTGGAGTCCTCGGTATCGAAACAATTTCCATTAATATATGATGACAGGTTCTAAAACGTATACAAGGGAGATATGTTTGAGTTGGACAAATCTCCATTATTTCTGTCGATACTATTATAATAGGTTTACATTGTACTGGATCTCGTTAACCCAGTGGGTTTAAATTATCAATTTCATTGCACATCGCAAATCCTCATAAAGTAGGTTAACCCGGGAAACGTTCTAATGTACATGTAGTTTAATATTTAAAAGAAGATTCTGTCACGTAGCCGGTGTTCGCATCTATCCATAGCAGAATGTCTTGAATTCCCGACGGAAGGTCGTCCACCTACGAGTAAAAAATATTATTTGTTGTTATGACGCCTGTGTTATTATTTGTCCTCATGATTAATTATATAACCCTAGCCGAAGGCTAGCCTACCCAAAAGCTATTCCACTGCACCATGGCAATGTGGGTATCAATGTGAAATATTGGAACAAATTCAATTTGTTTTTCGAAGAAGTTAATACTCCTCTGTTATAAAAAAGAGTTCCGAATCATAATCATTATACTTTCAAATATGCGGTAGACATTTCAAAACTACCCGCGACCAGAACCTTAATTTAATCGTTCCTAAATACTTTGTTTCATTCTGATGTAAAAATTCCTCATTAAACTTGTAGCCCCTTCGTCATATTGTTAGCCGACCTACAGATCCCTTGTAACCAAATATAAACAGCTGTTTATCGCATTTGTCAAGTCTACTTCTAAACAAAATGTATTTGCCGCGGCTTTTTTGTCTTGCACTCTTTCGTAAACACATTTCGTTCTCTTGTGATTGTTGTTTATCGGTTCATCTCTTTCGACTTCATCTATATTCGGAGCACTTGGAACGCAAATAAAATTGTTCGGCATAGTTGTAAACTTCATAGTGGAAGTTTGTGTTGTGGAGTGAAATAAAGACAAACTGATTTAAATAAAATAAATTTGGAAATATTTTATTAATTACCTCAGAAATATTTCCCAAAATCGTCCACCAACATTTCGATCAAAAATAAAGTCTTCACAATCTCCGAGTAGCTGTTAAACTAGGAGTAACTTTGGAAAGAAATAACCATGGGTGACGCCGACTATCCGAACTTGGAGAGCATATGCCGGTTGTGTCTGAAGGAAGATGCTGGAACTGTAGCCATTTTCCCGCTGCCAGAAGTAAAACTGGAAAAGAACTCTGTCCATATATCCATACCGATGCGTATAATGTCCTGTGCCGCTCTCGAAGTACAGTCCCACGATGGTTTGCCGGCAAAAATATGCCCCGATTGCCGTTTGCAATTGGAGAAGTCCTATTTGTTTCGCAAACAAAGCCAAACTTCCGACTCCAAGCTAAGGAAGCACATACGCCTCTTGAGTTTGGGTAAAAAGAGTAAAGTTTTTAAAAAGTCCACCGATGATGATGACGACGATGATGAATTAGAATTTCAAGATTCCATAGATTTTATAAAGCAGCACGAAGATAAATTGAAAGCTGAGGAGGAGGCAAAACTTCAACGTTTCAGGGATGAAATGAAATTGGAACAAGAAGCTGAATTGGAAAAATGTAAGGAGACAATGAAAATCAAATGCCGCGAAGAAGTTCGTCGGGAAGTTGAACAAGTGGTGAGGAAAGAACTGGAACAGGAAATGCAGAAGGAGATGAAAGAAGTTTTAATGCCAAAGATACGTAATGAATGTATGGAAAAGGCTCGAGAATCGTTGAGGGAAGAAGTTCGCGAAGAGTGCCGCGAAAATGAAATGAAAAATCTTTTGGATGATCTACAGGCATTTCTTAAAGAGCGTCAAGGTACTACAGAAACCGCCAAAACAAATGAGACTACGAAATCCAGGAGAATAACAATTAATTGCCAATCATCATCGGTCTGTAATGAAGAACCAGCAGCCAAAAGACCTCGATATTCCAATAATAAAATCCAGTTGATACAAATGAGCGATTTAGATGCAAAACCTGTTAAAGTAATTACAGCGAATCAAATGACGAATCACCAACAGTTGAATGGCCCAGTCACGACAAATATCAAAACCCAATCAGTTCTCAATGATGTTGCTGCTTCTGCTGATATGGATATAAATGTCCATGGCGATGAGGAGGACGAGGAAATGGATGAGGAAAATGATTGTGATAGTGATAATTTCTTTATATATGACACCGATGAAGGTTTTGAACTGCAAAAGAAGTCCAGCAGCAAATCTCAAGCTAATGATGAAGATTTAATATTGTCTCAAGAATCGGCACAGACGTACGATAGTGCCGATGATAATTTGGTAACACTCGAAACGCAGACACCACAAAAGTCTTTGGAAACAATGACAACAATTTCATATAGAAGTAAGTGAAAAATTTAGTTTTTTTTTTCGTTTAACAAAGAAAATTTATATATTTTTGCTATTTTTGTATTTTAATAAAACACTTTTTGTTAACAATTGAAAATCTTTCTATTTTAAATTTAGAAAATACGATTTTTTTCAAAAAAACATTATCATTGGATAGGGAAACCCTTAAGTCATGTTTAGGGGCTCCCCTCGAATCGTTTTGAAATTTTTTTTACCGTAGGTAGTCCTCGGTGAGCTGAAATGCATACTTTCCGAGATATATGGGCCTTAAACGTTCGGAAAATATTTTGTTTAAATTAGCCGTTTTCTATTTCCAGCATGGCAATATGGGTATCATGTTGTGTCCTGATAGCAATGATATACTTATTTCTTGTGGTAATATATACTTCCTGATATACTTCCCGATATAGGTATAAGTTCCCGTAGGTAGTCCTCGCTGAGCTGAAATATATACTTCTCGAGATATGGGCCTTGAGAGTTCGCAAAATATTTTGTTTAAATTAGCCGTTTTCTATTTCCAGCAAGGCAATATGGGTATCATGTTGTATCCTGATAACAATGATATACTTATTTCTTGTGGTAATATATACTTCCCTATATAGGTATAAGTTCCGCGAAAACTCTTGCATTTTTATAATACCTATGGACATATAGACTTTCTCCTGATGTAAACAAGGCTATGCTACTGAATCCCGTTTTTAATAGAATAATATTTGTGGTTGGACGAACTTCGTCCAGGGATTTAAAACTTTCTCTAATGGACAGATGCCAAAATCGGTTACGCAACGGATTCACCTTTAAAAGAGAATCGTTACGCGACTCACGTTTCTCGTATGTCTGGATGGAGCATTTTCCTAAATTGCTGCCGCTTAGAGTAAACTTCGATGTATCGATAAAATCGTAGACACATTTATCAAACGAAGTAGTTTGTATTTCCGATAGTGCTTTTGTTTGGTATGTCTCAGCGTATATGAAATGCCTTGACAAATAATGATTCCTTCCCATTTATTTGTGCAGGGCATGACCGAGTTTCAAATCTTTGCAAATTAGTAATATAAACGAATTGTTTTAATCCCTATTTTGAAACGGAATTAAATTAAGACTTGGGCTACAACATCGCAGAATAGACAATTTTTGGTTCAATTTATTTGAAAAAACTGAATTTTTATTTAAAGAGCTTTGGTAAAGCTCTGGACGGATCTCGCCGGTTTGTATTCTGTGCAATCTGAATTACAGACACGATACTCAAAAGAGTGAAGGATTATCGTGGAATATATTTTGCAAAAACTTCACCAATAATATATTTGCCGCAGCATACAGTGGTCACCACGCTAATATACTCTCTAAATTTTATTTTCAGTTTTGGTATTTTTTAATGTTCTCGTATTGTTTGTTTAATTTTCAGTTGCAGATTCTCAAAATGGCGAAATAAAGTTTTTAAAAAAATCCACTGATATAATCGAAAATTCCGTGGTAAACCATAATGATGAGGATAACAATGATCAACTACAGAATGCAAACATTATGATTTTGGATTACCCCACAGAAGATGGTGAGGATGAGGAACATTTGGAATTAATAGATTGTGGTGAAGATTATAACAATAAAAATATGGTAAGAATATTTTTGGAAAATTATTCTTAAATTATTATATAATTTAATTTATTTTCTTTTTATTAGAAACCAATTATATTAAAAACCCAAACCATAAAAACCACTCAACCGATCGAAGATGAAAATAACATTCCTTCAACAATCAACAATGCACAACATAACGTCATTGCCTCAGCTACAGTGGAAACGACCACAACCACTACGACATTAATGTCCAAGACCTATTCTGTACAGCGACAAACAGATACGCCAAAAACATTTAAATGTAACAGCTGTCCCATGGTATTTTCAACAAACGCCTCTTTGGAACGGCATTTACGTACCCACCGGAAGGGTGAAGAAACCGGTGTATCATTCCAATGTCCCGAGTGTCAGGTGGTGGTGTCATGTGCTAGCGCCTTGCGTCGTCACATGTATGTACATTGTGAAGAAAAACCATTTATTTGTTCCGAATGTGGTCGTTCGTTTGTACAAAAGGAAATACTCAAACGGCATATGCAAACACATACCGGCGTAAAACCATATCAATGTGAACACTGTGATCGTTCCTTTGCCCAACGTATTAATTTAAAACAGCACATCAATCGCCATCACACCGAGGAGCCGCAGATTCAACAATATTCCTGTCATTTGTGTCCGAAACGTTTTAATCACGCCTCCGGTTTGAGTCGTCATTTGGCCTCTCACAGTGGTGTGGCATTTCAGTGTTCCGAATGTGATCGTACCTTTGGCGATCGTTCATCGATAAAGCGACATATTGCCAATAAACATGGCGGACTTAAAGAACCAAAGTTGGAAAAAAGTTAATTTTTCGTATTTAATTTGTAGTTATATGTGTGAGTTTTTTTCTATACATAAATGTGTATGTTTTTAGATTAGGAATTTTATATAATTCCAGTACAAATTTATATAATTATTTTTTAATATACGTTCTTTTAAACATATATAAAATAGTATTAAAAATTCATAAGATATGAATATTTTGCTTTTCGTTTGACACAGCGAATCATTTGAGAAATACCCCCAAAAGATATTAAACAAATACAATTTAATTAAGCTCTAAATAAAATACTAAAAATCATATAAACATGTTTTAATATTCAATACGTAAAAAACAATACCCGATTCTAAATATGTGGAAGGACCATTACAATTTATAAATGGTTAGATGTGATCCTACCTATATTCCTACTTACTTAGATTGTTCTGAACTGTTGCGGTTCGCAAATGTATCCTCTTTCCAGATCATAAAGATCTGGCATCGACAACATCTTCTTATGAAGATAATTCCTTGGTGTCATGAAGTGTCACCATAATTTTTTAAATAATAGTTTCTCAACCGTATGTTAGGTTAGATTTGGGTATGTGTGAGCACCCACTAACCTGTGCCGCCTGTAAGCCAGGGCTGGACATTGGCACAGAAGATGCTCAATTGTCTCCGTCTCTTCCTCGCCAATGCAGAGTCTACAGTAATCAATTGCATCAAAATACCATTTACTAGTAAAGGCCCTGATTTTGCAGTGACCAGTAATCGCCCATGTGACATGTTCCGAGAGTTTTTGAATTCCCATACTTTTTTAAATTCCCTTGTTGTGCAAAATGGTGTGCTCAATTTCGAGCGAAAGTGCGGCTCGAAAGCATAGCTGTGTTCAATATGTTACGAAATGTGTTCAATAAAAAAACATATGTTTCATTGGAATTTGCAATTTGTTTAACAACAAAATTAAGAAAAAATATGCCTGCTGGCTTATTAATTGCCCTGGTTTCCAGCAGAAAAAATCTAATGATACTGGAAGGTGTTAAAATAAGCATTTATGGATATTTTGAGAGAAGTTGGTCCTTTCATACACAAGGGTACCATTCCCGAAAGCCTGTAGTTAGCAGCAAAGATTTCTGGTGGTGTTCAGAGGGTAGTGGCAAATGATTCAAATATAAGTGTTGATCGCACAACAATGTGTAAAATATTGTGGAGAGTAATGAAAGTCCTGGAAGACAAAGTGTGTGCAAGCTGTGGACAGCTGCAGACCAGGATCCATCCATGATGCTATTATTTGACATATGAGTTCAGCTAGGCAGCATTAACAAAGAGGAAATGGTATGCAAATAGTTGGCTTCTAGGAGACAGTGGTTACGCTTTAGAAACATTTTTGATGACGCCCTATAAACAAGTGGAGCATGGATCTTGTCAACATCGATATAATAAAGGGCACACATCTGCAAGAAACTTTATTAAAAGTATTATTGGAAATCTTAAAAGTAGATTTTTTATAGATTCTATTTTTATTTTGATCATATGGTGGTTGAGTTTCCAGATTGATCTCAAAAATGTTACGCGCTGTTTTTGATAAAATGAGCCCTTTTTTATTTTCTTTAATTTTACTATAAAAACTAATGTAAATACTTTATTTGTTAAATAAATATTGTAAAAACACGCTAAATATTACTTCAGCGTTCTTTTTTAACTTGTACGTGCTCAGAAAAACACGTACGATCTCATTTCGTTTTCAATCCACAAGGCTATATGTGTTCGAATTATATTCCCAATATTTTTTTGGGAATTCGGAATGGAGCACACCAAATTTGGGAAAATGTTTCACATTCGAGCAAACTCGAAATGCAGCACATGGGCGAATGATTCATGTCATTACTCCTATTTCAGGTTCAACAGTGAGTGCGTTCTTTTGGTAGACAGAGTCGGCCAAATGGATCTTGACACGTTGCAACTAGGTTCGTTGTGCCAAAGTTCATAGGCTCTTTCGTCGAAGAACGCCTCAAAGTTCCGATAAAGATGACATATGGGTGGTTTGATAGAGTCTTCAATTGCTAGATCTGTGGATTGAGATCCTCGTCTTGCTAATTCGTCTTTTCTTTCATTATCCATGATGTCACGGTGTCCTGGTACCCAACACAGCCGATAGCTGTAAGTAAGTTCTTCCAAAGCTGCTCTATACTTGAGGACGGCCTCAGATTTGATATAACAAGATTTGATGGCTTAAAAGCCGCTTGACTATTGTCACTCGTTTCAATTCCGACAAAAACAAACAAGTCAAAATGTATTTTTGACAAAGGCTCAGTTTATTCTCTAATAAAAATATCTTATGAGTGTTAAGTTATAAACAATGTGAAATATTCTTACTCGGTCGGTCCTTATGGCATAAAACGAGAGACAATTAATTAAACGGCTTACGTGACAAGACTGACTCTCTAAAATGGCGAAATCAATTACATTGCATTTTTACATATTTCTTTAGACCTTTCGGTTTACAGTTATTTTGAAATTAATGGATGCCACATTATTCTAAACAATTTCTTACATACGAATGTCACTACAATAACCAATACAATAAACAGACTAAACGACGTTGCCAGAATCAACATCCCCACCCCCGTGAATCGATTCGATAGATTGAGATTCACTGCATCCGTCAGAAACATCCAATATAGCAAGCTTATTTATTGGCCTGCTTAGAACACCCGTAGAAGTCTGCACCTCGGCAGATCTTGCCACACCATCCTTGCCTTCAATCAACCTTAAGATTCTTCCTCTTTTCCACTTTGATCGAGACTCATTGACGTCACAAATTAGCACAAGACTACCAGGGCAGAGCGAGCGCGATGATTGGAACCATTTGGTTCGTCTAGTCAAATCTGGGAGGTATTCTTTTATCCATCGCTTCCATAGCCCATTCTTGAGATTTTGCAGTAATCGCCACTGTTTCCTGGAAGAACACAGACGATGTTCATATGGCGCTGGCGTCTGGGTAGAATTAATACCACCAATCAAAAAGTGGTTCGGGGTAAGGGGTTCCGGATCATCCGGTGTAACCGGAATGTGTGTAAGCGGCCTAGAGTTCACAATATTTTCGGTCTCCACCAATAAACTATAAAGCGTTTCTAAACGAGGAGCATGTTCCTTTAGCATAGCATTCAAGCACCTTTTAACCGATTGCACCAACCTTTCCCATGCACCGCCAGACGCAGGATCACCAGGCGTATTAAATTTCCATTGCACACCTAAAGGAGCAAGTCCAGCTTTAATAGTTTCGCTGTCCAAAAAATTGGTCTCTCCATAGAGCTCCTTTCTAATGCCGACAAAATTGGTCCCATTATCGCTCCGAATTTGTACAGGTACTCCACGACGATTCACAAAGTTTTTAATACACATCAAACAAGCGTCACTTGATAAATTTGAAGCAATTTCGAGATGAACTGCTCTAATCGTTAAACAGGTGAATAATGCTATCCACCGTTTTTCCCTTTGACGCCGAATAGTTACTTCAACAGGGCCAAAATAGTCTAAGCCCGTATATGAAAATGGTCTGACATAGGGCGTAAGCCTGTCAATTGGTAGTTGACCCATAATAGGCTGTGTCGGTAGCGCTTTTTTGATTTTACACACACTGCATTTGTTACGCACCTTATTGACCAATACTCTTATAGATGGTATCCAATACTTCTGTCGTATCTCGCTTATTATGGTGTTCGTGTTGATGTGATACAATTTTTGATGATACCATAACACAAGAAGTTCTGTGAAACGATGATTCTTCGGTAATATACATGGTCGTCTGAATTCTTCGGAAACGAATACTACGTTATCGATTCGACCCTTAACTCGTATAATTCCAAAGTCATCAACATAAGGACACAGAGTCTTTAAATCACTGCTAGCATCCACAGGTCTATTCATTTTTAAACATTTGTATTCGGAGGAGAAGGCTTCCTGTTGAACAATTATGCAAAGTATCTTTTCAGAATAATTCTCCTCGCTAGACGTCAATTCCCCTTGTATTCTGGATCTATTTGCGGATACTCTAGAATTATTGACGAAACGTACAACCCATGCTAGTATTCGTCTCACTTTAAGAAAATTTGAGTATCTGTTAAAATCAATTAAGTGCGGCGTTTTTACTGTTGATAAGCCGTAATGTTGTGAACGCAACTCTAGTTCAGATGTATCGCAACCAGCATTGTTATTTATTAAAGGCCATTTCTCCCTGGGGTAATATAAAAAATCGGGACCGTTTATCCACCTGTTTTCTATATTGCATTTCGGTCGTGAACGAGTCCCTTCATCAGCAGGATTTAAGTGTCCAGGTAGCCACTGCCAATTTGGGATCGTTGAGCTCTCCAGAATTTCACCAACACGATTTGCCACAAATTGCTTATATTTTCTGGAATCAGATTTTATCCAATTCACGACAGTACTTGAATCGGTCCAAAAATAAATATTCTCCGGATTAGAAATGGAATGTTCACAAACTTGGTTTTTCAGGCGGACGGCGAAGACCGCTGCTTGTAATTCGAGACGTGGTATCGAATGGTACCTCTTTGGTGCGCAGTTGGTTTTTCCGCATATAAATGAAATGTTGATGCCAGAAGGAGTATTGAATCGCCAGTAGGCTACAGTTGCCATCGCCTCCTCACTGGCATCGCTAAACAGGTGCAGTTCTTTTGAATCATTAGAAATATTATGAAAATTATACCTGGGTATTTTGAAGTCTCTTAGCTTTTTTACCTCGCATAGCCAAGCCACCCACCTTCCGTACAATTCGTCTGGTATGGCGTCATCCCATTCCAAATCGTACTTCCATAATGTTTGCATTAGTATTTTTCCGCATACGGTGATGTTCGCCACAAATCCAAATGGGTCAAATGTTGACATTACCACACTTAATGTTTCCCTCTTAGTGGGCTTACGCCGTAACTCAATAATGTCACCTGGCACTTTATGAAACTTTAATGTGAATCCAAACTCATCCGTCGAGGGGCTCCATTGCATGCCCAATATTCGTTCTACTCTGTCTGGTGACACATCCACACTAGGAACTGTATCTCCATGAAAGGCAACTGTGACCCTTTGTGAATTAGATATGATTTTACACAAATCGAATCCAGCGTGTTTGTGAATGTTTTGTACCTCTTTTAATACTTTAATTGCTTCTGACTCAGATCTAAAACTATCTGCATAGTCATCGACATAATGTCTATCCGTAATAGCACTAACGGCTCGGGGGTATTGTTCGGAAAAAACATAGCATTTTTATTTTTTACGAATTGAGCAATTGTTGGCGAACACGCAGCCCCAAATATCAATCTGGTCATCACACACTCCGTTACGGGGCTATCAAGGCAGTTGCCTTTCCACAAAAATCGTTGAGAATTTAAGTCCTCCTTTCTAACTGCCACCTGCAGAAACATTTCGCGAATATCACCGCAGACTGCAACGGGTTCTTCCCTGAATTTTAATAACACTGAGAATAGTGACTTATTCAAATCAGGGCCAGATAATAATGCGTCATTTAACGAACTACCCTTTATCTTAGCCGCTGCATCGAAAACGACACGAATCCCGGTTTTATTGGGATTGGATACACCAAAGTGAGGTAGATAAAATGTTCTTGGGGTGCGTGCAATAATTTCTTCATGTTTCAATCTCCTTGCATATCCCTTTGCAAACAAGCTCTCCATCTTTTCACAATATTCTTTAGCGAACAACGCATCCTTCTTAAATCTTTTCTCTAATAGTTTCAGTCGTTTTAGTGCCATTTCATAGCTTGAAGCAAAGGTTATGTTTTCATTTTTCCACAACAGTCCACATTCATATCTATCACCACGAAAATTCACCGTATTTGACAATATTTCAAGCGCTCTTTCATGATCTCTGGGCAAAATTGTTGTTGTATCATTTTTGACACCACACGACTCCACTTCAAAATATTTATGCATCATCTCTTTCATTTCTTCATTTGCGCTTTGGCATTTTACTAAATTTGCACAAAGTACATGTTTAGTTACGGAACCATATTGTCCAAGTGGACCATAAATTATACATCCCAATTTACATTTAATAACAAATGGCCCACAGTCTGACGTATTTTCTGGGATTTCTGTGGGGACTGTCAAAAATGCATGTGCAAGACTTATTATCATTCTCGGCTTTGCCAACGAGTATTCATTTATGTTCATGTTTGCTAAAATGGGATTGCTAGCAATCAGCTGGTCTTTAACTAAAGACTGAGTTGGCAATTCCAATGTATTCGTTAGGTACACTTTCTTCATTTCATATTTTTCGTGTGTATTATTTTCGGCACTAACACATACATTTACCACTTCAGTAGCTTCAGAGGATGAAGACCCATTTAACCATTGCAGCTTCAGCGTTTCAGGCGTCCCTCGTATTCCTAACTGTCTCGCGATGTCCCAATCCAGTATGGTTGCGTTGGCACCATCATCCACGAACGCATATATAGAGACTTCCTTGCCTTTGTTATATAGCTTAATTGGTAGTATTTGGAACAACACACGCTCTTTCTGGTCATCAACATGACAACTCACATAATCATTTGATGTATTTGAAGGTAGCGCCCTGTCAATATCGTGCAATAGACTATTATGTTTTTGCTCACAGTTATTTACTCCACAATTCTGTTTGGTATAGCATGAATACAGTTGATGATTCGGTTTTAAACAAGAAAAACATAAACGCAGCTCCTTTACTTTAGCCCAGCGTTCAACTACCGACATGGCTAGAAATTGTTCACATGCGCTAATGTTTACACAATCTCCTTGACATACGTAACATCTTTTCTGTGAAATACTAACCATTGCATAACGTTTACTTGCCTTCGGTGCTGCAATATGATTCCTTTGTATATAACTATTTGCTGTTGACGTGGGAACTGCAGATGGCAATGCGTCTGTCACTATATTTGCAATCTTCGTCATACAGCTTAACCAATTGCTGAAATCCATAATATTCGGCGTGTCTTTTAGCGACAAACATTTTTCGGCCCATTGCATTTGTTTATTTGTAGGCAATTTCGACACTAATTCGCTTAATAAAGATGGGTTATATAAATGATGGTCTCCATCCACAGATTTTAAGAACATTGCCATGTTGTTGACTTTATTGGCAAACATGATAAGTTGATCAAGTTTGCCATCCACCACGTTTGGATATAACCTCACTTTTTGAATTTGGCTTTTTATTAACAGCTCTGGACGGCCGTACGTTTCTTTCAGCGTTTCTATTATTACGTTTACATTCTTTGAATTTGAAAGAAGTGATTCGACAGTTTCACGTGCATCTCCTTCCAATGCGTCCCTAATTCGGATGATGTTCTGAAGATCAGTGTATTCGAATTCAGTAGTAGTTGCGTTATAATCTTCATAAAACATTTGCCATTCTTCTGGCTTGCCATTGAACTTTGGAAGTGGGTAGATTTTCTTCGGTTTGGTAGGGTGGCTGCATTGGCTATGGTTAGTAATATTAGTAAGAAACTCACCAGTGTCACCCGTTACCACCGATCCGGGCTGCTTCTGCGTTCCCTCTGGCAAACCAGACTGTTTTGGCGTTCCTAAGTTGGCGGCCGCATTTTGATTCTGTTGTTCCATGGCTAGGCGTAAGGGCGGTATTCCTTTCGTTTCTCTGGCACTCCTTCGAATAGGTGTTGGCTCCGACATATATCACATACACGTACACTACTTCCACAAAGGCTTGAGCGAAGAATAAAGTTGTCACTCGTTTCAATTCCGACAAAAACAAACAAGTCAAAATGTATTTTTGACAAAGGCTTAGTTTATTCTCTAATAAAAATATCTTATGAGTGTTAAGTTATAAACAATGTGAAATATTCTTACTCGGTCGGTCCTTATGGCATAAAACGAGAGACAATTAATTAAACGGCTTACGTGACAAGACTGACTCTCTAAAATGGCGAAATCAATTACATTGCATTTTTACATATTTCTTTAGACCTTTCGGTTTACAGTTATTTTGAAATTAATGGATGCCACATTATTCTAAACAATTTCTTACATACGAATGTCACTACAATAAACAGACTAAACGACGTTGCCAGAATCAACAACTATCCTCGAAGAACCGGTGACTCTTCGAGGATAGTCAAGCGGCTTTTAAGCCATCAAATCTTGTTATATATATATAACGATCTCTGCATCCAGACTTTTTATCAATTCCGCTGCTTCCAAATCGCGAAGACTCAAGGCCTAGCCTTTCACAGTAGACGCCCGCCCCTGTACCATCTTCCATCTTGGATCCGTCTGTATAGAAGGTCAGATCGTCCAGAGGAGGGTTACTTCGGTTCCAGTCGTCTCTGCTAGGAATAACGACATCTACATTGTCAAATCTCATAGGCGTGGATTTTTTAAGAATATTTTCACTAGAACCATAGCCTGAATTTTTAAACAATATTTTCTCATGAACCATAGGCGTGGATTTTTTAAGAATATTTTCAATAGAACCATAGCCTGAATTTTTAAACAATATTTTCTCATGAACCATAGGCGACAATATTTTCTCATTTCACTTATGGCTGATGCTATTCAAATAAAACTGTCGTGAATTAAATAAGATTTGTTGGTTTAACAAAACCAGTATATTTTGTTTAAATTAATTACTAGGTTTGCATACAGATTTACTTAATTTGCGTCAATAAGTGTGTATATATAGCTCAACAAAATTTGATAACAAGTAATAGGAATTTGTTTTTAATAAAAATACAATTCTTATACCAATTTGTTTGGAAAAAAAATTAAAAATAATTAAAAAAAAACGAAATCAATGCATCATGAGCGAATAAAGAAAATAATTGGGAGAAAAAAACAAACAATTACTTAACATTTGACTTAATTTTTAGCTCATTTAATAAATAATAATTATGTTTTAAATAAAATCAATAGTAATAGCAATAATAATAATATTAATTGTAATAATAATAAGGATATATCATCTTGTTTTTAATAATATGTAGTTATATAAAAAATTCACAATATTTAACATTGATTATTATGGATATACAATTAGCTCTTAATAAAAGCACCTCTCATATCTTCGTAATCATCATCATCATTATTGTATGAATGCAATTGATTGATATTTATAAATATTTTATGCGTTTCTTTTTTTGGGTGTATAAGTTACTGGTATTTTTTTTTTGTTTATATGAATATGTATGTATATTGTATAAGTGTGTAACAGTATGACTGATATTTCTTCAAAAGATATACTCCTTCGTTTCTTTGTTGTTGTTTTTTTTTTACAATTTAAATACAATTATAAACAAATATTTATTTATATATATAAATAACACACAATATATATAATAAGAACGAAACGAAAAAGTAAGAACTAAGAAGAAAAAAAATATATGTATAGTAAAAACATTTTTTCTCTCTCTCTAATTCTTAATTTCATTAAGACATAACGGGGGTCTTTTTGTTTTGTTGTGACATCAATCCGAATTGGTCATGGAAGAACGTTGAGATTCCAGTGTATTTGAATCGTTGCGATTTCGCAACATACGCGGTTGACTGGATGTGAAATTGGAAAAATCCTTCATAACATCTTTGTAGGTTTCATCCTCGCCATTACCTTCGTCATTTAGTCCGATTTCATCATTTAAACGGGTTAAACGTAAACTAGAAAAAATATAAAAGGGCACAAATAAGTGAATAATATACACAATATTTTTTTATGTTCTCCAGAGCTATATGCCTGGATTTTTTATAAATATTTTCTAAAGAGGTCTCGAATTTCTATGAATATATTCCGAAGAACCTTAGGTGGGGATTTTTTAAGAATATTTTCTCAAGAACCCTAGGCTTGAATTTTAAAGAATATTTTCTGAATCCTATGAGTATTTTAGAACCATAGGAGTGGATTTTTAAAATTATTGTTCCAAGTGGATTTTTAAGAATATTTTCTCAAGAACCATAGACGTGGATTTTTGAAGAATATTTTCTCAAGAACCATAGACGTGAATTTTTTGAAAAATATTTTCTCGAGAGACATAGGCCTGGATTTATGAAGAATATTTTCTTAAGAATCGTAGGCGAGGATTTTCTAAAGAATATTTTCTCAAGAACCATAGGCGTGGATTATTTAAAAATAATTTCTCAAGAACCATAGGTGTGGATTATTTAAGAAAAAATTCTTAAGCACCGTAGGCGTGGATTATTGAAGAAAAAATTCTCAAGAACCATAGGTGTGGATTATTTAAGAAAAAATTCTTAAGCACCGTAGGCGTGGATTATTGAAGAAAAATTTCTCAAGAACCATAGGTGTGGATCATTTAAGATAAAATTCTTAAGCACTATAGGCGTGGATTATTGAAGAAAAATTTCTCAAGAACCATAGGTGTGGATCATTTAAGATAAAATTCTTAAGCACTATAGGCGTGGATTATTGAAGAAAAATTTCTCAAGAACCATAGGTGTGGATCATTTAAGAAAAATTTCCTGAAGAACCGGAGGCATGCATATTTGAAGAATATTTCTTGAAGAACCGGAGGCATGCATTTTTGAAGAATATTTCCTGAAGAACCGGATGCATGCATTTTTGAAGAATATTTCCTGAAGAACCGGAGGCATGCATTTTTGAAGAATATTTCCTGAAGAACCGGGGGCATGCATTTTTGAAGAATATTTCCTGAAGAACTGGAGGCATGCATTTTTGAAGAATATTTCCTGAAGTACCTGAGGCATGTATTTTGGTAGAATATTTTTCTAAAGAACTATAAGCCAGGATTTTTTAAGAATATTTTTTGGAGAACAATAGTAGTGGATTTTTTAAAAAATATTTTTTAAAGAGCCACCACCACCACCATTTGAAGTTGCAGAACCGCAGCTAAGACTACACACATGTCTCTCTATGAACACAGCCTATGCATGTTGTAACATTTCTGAAATTGAATACAGAGGAACCAGAACCAAACAATAGATAGACAATGCTCAACAACGATCCGAAGCGACCCTAGACTTACTCAATATGTCTGCCACCTTAGCCCATAGCGTAAAATAATTGGGGCTGCTACATCAACAAGTCTCTTTTTGTTGCTTGCTCTTGCTTAAATACTCTCTAACCCTTTAAGGCCCAAGTTTCATCAAAGACAACAAAATGTTTTTGTATATCTTATATTTAATACACATCTGATCTGATAATGGACGACGTCAAATTTTGTTCATATCCTATGTAGTATAGTTGCATTAAATCTACACACAGAAAATTTTTCTATGGTCACGGAAATAAATTCGGGGTCTTTATAAAGACCAATGTATAGAGAGACCACAGGTCTTTATAAAGACCAACAAATATATTGACAAATAATTATTTCATGATGAAAAACATTTATAAAAATAATATTTGGGCACATCTTATACTTACAGTGTAACTATATCAGCATTTCGTTGTTCAACAGCTATATCTAGAGGATTTTTACCATCGTTGGCTTTTAGATCATATTTGGCTTTATGTTTAAGTAATAAATATACTTGTGCAATAAATCCTTTTTCCGTTGATATATGTAAAGCACTATAACCATTGTCGTCAACAACATCGATGGGTACGCCATTCAATAGCAGATACTCGCAAGCCATAACAGAGCCCTGAAATTCAAATACATACAAATGTATCAAACTCTTAGAAAAAAAGATTCAAACAAATATTTAAACCTACCGACAACACAGCCTGATGTAAGTACGTCCGATTGTGATCTTCAGGATTACGCCAATTTTTATCAGCACCTAAGGCAAATGCCATACACATAACTGGTAAATTGTGTACCGCAGATGCCTGATATAACATGAGATTCGCATCCAACTTGGAAAAGGGCACTTCATATATCACTTCTGGTTCATTTTCTCCTTCGGTGGATTCTTGATCGGAACCCAATATGCCGGGTGTTTCATAGGTTTCCAAACCTAAATCTTCACCGACTATCAAGAGATCTTCACGTGAAATGCTCAACGACATTGAGGGTATATTTATCGATTCATCATCGTCGTCATCATCCTCATCGTCGACTACAGGATCATCAGATGATTTCGAACTGGAGCGTTGACGTTTACGTTGACGATGGCGGCGACGTCTAAATTTCTTAACAGCCCATTTGCGTGTACTACCCAGCGATAGAGTAGCCCGCTTGCCAATATCATTGCCACCACTGTCGATAGACAAGACTTCAGCCGTTTCACTTGACAGATATTCCGGGGGCTTAGGCATACCGCATACAAAACGTTTCTCCACATATTTCGCCTTAATCCATGCTTCTCTCACGGCAATTTCACAATTTTCTGTAGCCGGTTTCAAATCGGAATTTTCACCAATACGTGCTTCGTAGATGCGATTCACCACAGCATTGCCTAGTTCCATCATTACTTTGACATTTTCCGTTTCCCAGGCATCAAGTGTCAGCGAACGTACCTTACTGTAGTGTACTCCAAGGCTGCGATGTACACCGGAACACTCAATACACAGTGTTATGCCTAGATTAATGGAAGCCCATCGTGGATCGGCACCACGACAATCACAACATATAGAATTGCCGGGAATTTTTAAAAATTGTTCCCAGTGTCTGTAAACGGAAGAAGAAGAGTTCAATAAAATCGGTGGCACATGCAAATGACAACATATAAAAATGGGTATGTATAGAGACCATAGGTCGACATAAACACCATAGGTCTATATAAATACTAATGGTTCTGCATAGAGATCACAAATTTTTACATTAACCAAGAACGATGGGTCTGACCAATTGCTCTGTATAGAGACCAGAGTTCTATATAAGAACCAATTGGTATGTATAGAGGCCAGGGTCTGCATAAAGACGATTGGTCTGTTAAAGGCCAATTGCTCTGTATAGAGACCACAAGTCTTTATAAAGACCTGCGGTTTCTATACAAGACTAATTGGTCTGTATAGAGACGACGACAGGTCCTTATAAAGACCAATTGGTCTGTATAGAGATGACGACAGGTCTTTATAAAGACCAATTGGTCTGTATAGAGACCACAGGTCTTTATAAAGACCAATTGGTCTATATACAGACCAAAGGTCTGCATAGAGACCATAGGGTTTTATAAAGTCCAATTGGTCTGTATACAGACCAAAGGTCTGCATAAAGACCAATTGGTCTGTATACTGACCAAAGGTCTGCATAAAGACCAATTGGTCTGTATAGAGACCACATGTCTTTATAAAGACCAATTGGTATTTATAGAGGCCACAGGTCTTTATAAAGACCAATTGGTCTGTATTCTGTTCTCAGTTCTATATAAAGTCTTACTAATCGGGATATTGTTTTGAAATAGATATTGTTATATCTTTAAATCTCACTTACACTTTTCTTTTGGCATTCTTCAAGGGATTCGTATGCTGTGATGACTGAGGTCTGGAATGCTGAGGATCATGCTGTATAGCTGCACCAATACTTTTCTGTAATGCTGAAATCCACATAGCCAACATATCAGCTGAGTCAGCTTGCAAAACGTGAGACCTAATCGATGTTTATACACAAACACACAAGAGGAAAAGAAAAACACAAATACAAGCAAGAAAAAAATACAAACATAAGTTAGGCAGGCATCTTCTCATGGGGTTATATTAATGATTTACAAAAATCTGCAACAGCTCATCATGCATGAGTGTTCTAGATAAGAATAATAATAAAATGCCAACTTACTTGGTTGGTGATATGACTTCGAAACAAAATCGACGATCGCCATCGTTGACGGGACGTACTGTACAAAGGCGCAAGTCTTCTTCCATCACAGAAAATGAATCCTCGTTGCTACGTTTTCTGCAATTCGAATCCAAATCACTTCAGCGTTACAACAACAACAACACAAGACAATTTCAATTCAAATCAACACAACAGAAACAGAACACAACAACATCAACACAACAATAAAAAAACATAAAAAGTATAAATGATTGGGTTTTTTTAGAGACAAAATAAGAAATTAGAAAAATTAAGAGACAAGCAAAACAAGAAATTAAGATTTTTTTCGGAAGGATAGATCAGTACGAAACAAAATACAGTATTACATTTTACATGTTTAAACAGTTACAATAAATTCAAATTAGACAGTTAACACATGAACGAAAGAAAACAAGAAAAAAGATCGTTAAATTTTGATTGGTTGTTTAAAGAAGAAAACATAATGTTAAAATATAAGAAAATAAAATAATAATCATAGAGACAGCAATAAAAATAAATTATAACCTTAAATCCTTTCGAACATGCTTGAATTAATTGCTAATTTTCTTTACTTTATTAATAATTTATTGTTTTCTTTATCTATTATGTACGAACAAAATTGGGGATTATTGTAAAAAAAAAAACATTGTAGGCATTAAAAAGGATAATTTTTTAAAATTAAAAATATCATATTTATCATTCTTCATTTTATTTAGTTCCAAGTTTGTCTCAAATCCAAACATTGTTTTTACAATAAGCCCACAATTTTTTTTTTATTTTTGTCTATTTTCTTGTTCAACACGCACCTGTACACCAATTGATTATCGCTCAAATAAAACCAACGACGACACCACGTTTTAAATCCCTTGGATTTCTTTTTGAAGAGATATCCTTCGATCTTATTGGAAGTACTATTCGTATTTGTATCACTAAAACTATTCACACTCATGTGACGATTTTGCATGACTTTTTCCAATTTTTGATATTCGCCGCGCATTGCATTCAAATCGTCTGTAAAACTTTTAAAGAACACATCGAAATCGTGGCACAAATCGAAACCTTGATGATAATACGTTACGCAGGCTTGATAATAATCAAGTAACTGAAATTAAGAAAAGATAAGAGAGTGAACATATTATAAAATATTGGTATTAAATAATTTTCGAAAGAAATTTAAGAATCTTCGATTGGAAAATCACATCCAGGTAGCTAAAAATGCCTAAACGTGAAAAAACTATTTTAAGGGATCTAAGACAAAACCTCTCTAAAATATTGTCATTTTAGTTTTAAAAAGCATTCAAATACACGAAGGAGGACGGAATCGATACTTTGTCTATAATATGCCACTTGACATTGTTAAAATGTATCTGGGTGAATCGAAAAAGAATTCGATAATTCGAAATATCAAATTACTGCCTATTCCGTTAGAAAGTAAGACTACAAATTTAAATATAGCCTTAATGGTGTGAGCACTGTAAATGGTGGCTAAGTCAAATCAAGCAAGTAAAACCCGAAGTACATTGTTAAAGGATATCTGCGGCGATCCTCGACGACGCAGATGTATGAATGATATTCAAACTGGTGCTTTAGAACCCCTCTCTCCAGATTATGAAGATCTCTTCTGAAGTCCTATCCTTGAGAAGAATGCATGGATTATTCCTGCTTTAGCACCTGTGTCGATGTTGTACCTTTGGGCATAATTGTATTTTGTTGTTCCTGCTTTAGCACCTGTGTCGATGTTGTACCTTTGGGCATAATTGTATCTTGAACGAACCAGGTATGACATTGGATCAACGTGTAAAACTAAGCGACTATATATCACCAATCTTGAGATTTGACGATGTAGATGTCGTTATTCCTAGTAGAGACGACTGGAAGCGGAGTACCCCTTTCTATACAGACGGATCCAAGATTGAAGAAGGTACAGGGGCTGGCGTCCACTGTGAAAGGATATGCCTTGAGCTTACCTACAAGCTGGATAGCAACTGTAGTATTTTCTAAGCTGAAATCTTCGCGATGTGGACGACAGCGGAATTGATAAAAAATCTGAATGCAGATATAACCCTTTCTAGACAGACGGATCCAAGATGGAAGAAGGTACAGGGGCTGGTGTCTACTGTAAAAGGCTAGGCCTTCAGCTTACCTACAAGCTGGATAGCAACTGTAATGTCTTTCAAGCGAAAATCTTTGCGATTTGCGTCCTCATGTGTAGAACAGTTTTGGAAGAACTTACTTACAGCTATCGGCTGTGTTGGGTATCAGGACACCGTGGCATCATGGATAATGAACGAGCAGACGAATTAGCAAGACGAGAATTTCAATCTACAGATTTAACAAATGATGGTTCAATCAAACCACCCATATGTCATCTTTATCGGAGCTTTGAGGTGTTCTTCGACGAAATAGCCTATGAACCTTGGCACAACGAACCTAGGTGGACAGACTCACTGTTGAACCTGTGCAAAGCTGAAATAAGAGTAATGACAGAAATCATTACTGATCATTACAATATCGGGGCCTTTACCAGTAAATGGGACCATGATACTACTGATTACTGCAGACTCTGCGTTGACGAAGAGGAGACGGAGACAATTGAGCATCTCATGTGTCGCTGCCCAGTCCTGGCCTACAGACGGCACAGACTAGTGGGTGCTCACTTTCCACTTAGTTTCTTCTCAACAAAGGAACCTGCTCTAATCTACAGCATCATTAGAAACTTAAAGTGGTTGGGAAAGTGCAACGTTTTCGTAGATGATTACAATGGACCTGACGGTCTCAGAGTGCTGCAGCAACATTAGTGACTGCACATCCCCAAACCTAACCTAATCTATACTGTGTCGATTTAGGTATAAAACCTTCGCTTTTCCATGTAAATGATTCACTGGAACCAGATCTTCTCATGTAAATGATCCACTGGCATTATAACAGGGTTTGAAAATTCTTCCACTGCGTATATAGATTTCCATCGACAGACCCAATGCTTTGTAAGACCACAAATAGGTTTCTTTGTCAGCACTCCAAAAGCTGGAGTCAACTTGAGGACCTTGTTCTTACTTCTGTCTTTTTTTTTGCAAATAGCAGAGATTTTTGCTTTCTTTTGATAAAATTAAAAAAATGTAAAAATTATGGTGTTTGACTTTGTTGCAGTTTTTTTATCTCACCCTGTATATCATGTGCCAGGAGAATGAAGGGTTTTACCTTCATTACCACATCAGGTAGTATTTGATTGAAAAATGCGTTTAGGTAATTTGAAATACCCAAAATGGAGCGAACCATATTAATATGGAGAATAGAACCATATTAAAAATTTTATTTAACCCTTTCAGTGTTTTTGTCGAATATATTCGACATTTAAAAGTACTCTCTTTGCGATTTTTCGGTTATCCTATGTATCGTTACCACTAATGTTTTTGTTTTTGCTGAAAGACAGACGAACCTGCCCGAGGGTTAAAATGAAAATTGCTATTTTTTCTAAACTCTGCATTTATATGATCTTAAATACAAAATTTTAGATTTTTATTCCGACAAAAATTTTTTTTGACACTGAAAGGGTTAATGAGTTTATTCAACCTTCGACAATCCTTACATATTGCAGCTTTGTCAAAGGATAGACCTCCCTACTGCATTTTTTTTTTGTCGGGAGGTCCTTTAAAATAGCTCAATCTTATGAAAGAAAGGTAATGACAAATTGTAGCCACATATTTACGAATTTCGATGAATATGACCTTAGGAAATATTGGGGTTGTATCCAAGGTCCCTCAATGATACAGTTTGTAAGTGGAAAATTTTACATGAAGTATCAGTCATTGGCTGTTATACAAATAATCAATTTACTTCCATGTCATAATGGATACCACCGTCAGCATGATCACTTGGAATTTATAACACATGGAATACTGTCCAGTTAGACATCCTATAGTAGACAAACTTTGGTACTTTGTGTGAGATACGTACGATTCCGTCTCCACGCGATAAGTTGCGACTGACAGATTACTTTGATTTAGAATGTGTCAGTGTGAAAGTTATATTGTGGCCGGAAATGCTTTGATACACGACAAGTTTCCGAATCGTAATATGGTCAAAGTGAAGAACTAATTCCATTCCCATCTAGCAATCAAAATCTGAATAACATTACTTCAAATATTTTGTGGTTAATCATTTTTATGTGAAATACATAACACTTAGTTACTTACCGTTGATAAAATTGAAGGTACTTTACGGGACTGAACCAAAGTGATGTAGTTGACATAATCTAATGCCGTATGATGAAAACATGATTTTGATGCTGATAATATGTTGGCGGCTTCCTGTACTTCTTGGGTACGATTTTTACTTGCCTATAATGGGATAAGAGAAGAGGTAAAAAAAAAACAGAAAATAAATGATAGATAGCAATCAATTCAGATTAAATATAAACAAAAAAAGCCATAAGAAGAATGGATATGAGTTGCGGACAATGGCCATATTCAATCGACATCCTTCGGGCTTTTTTAGTTTTCTTTTTTTTTCAACTTACTTGAGCATTTTTAATTAATGCATTGTCATAGCCCTCAGACACTTTGAGAAAATGCCCTTTATAGTCTTTCACTTGATTAATGTCGTCCTTAACGAATACGGTTAAATTTTTTAATACGGTACGGCTGGCTTGATCCAATAAAATGGTATGAAATTTATTCATTTCCTATAAGTAAATTGAATCATCAGCATCATCATCATAGTAGAGAAAACCATCATAATAAACATCAGTAACAACAACAATAAGAACAACAGCATTGTCGACATCATCATGTGAAATGTGAATATGAGAGACAGAGCATGACAGAGCTTTGTAATTAAAAACTTGCTACAGTGTTCTGAGAAATATACGAATGCAATTTTTTTTATTTATTTAAAAAATATTGAGAATAAATCATTGTAACACTTTTTTATTAAACACAATGTACCCCCAAAGCACCTGGAATTTGTAACCTCCTGCACATAGAATACTGCATACTGCAAATACTCCATGTTAGAGAAGTCCGACTGTATTGGTGTATCTGACAATCAAAATCAATAAAACTATTTTTTGCATTTTCAAATTCAAACTTAGTTAAATTACTCATGAAAAAATAGCATGCAATGTAAGTATATTTAAGTCTTTGTTCTAAATCGATTATAGTGAAAAACAATTAGTAATCAAGATAGAGAATTAAAAACAAATTGTGAATGCGAAGATATCTGATATTTTTGCACTTGATTTTTATATGAATTTATATATTTATGAATATGGAAATAAGATTACAAATTTTAAGTGGCATTGATTAACAAAATAAATCAAAAACTGATTATTTTCTAAATATCAGTTAATTCGGGGAATAGTTGGGGTAAAGAATAATATTCTTGAAATTCTAAAAATTCAACTTTTTTGGAATCGGTCAATACTGTAATTATTATACCCTATATGATTTTCATAATCGTCTCACTACGCAAGTAAATGACAAAATTGTAAAGACATTTGAAGAGGTTGGATTGGTTACAAATACGAGGGCAGTTCGGAAAGTTCTTAGCCTAGCACAAAAAGCGCGGTATAAACAGAAAAAAAGTTAAGTGTTTTGGAATCTTCAATCTCTGTATGAGGACGTGTTAAATTTTTTTCGTTCTGGCAACTCCTTCATATAGAAACAGGTGTTCAAAAAGACGCATAAGCAATTTTTAACAATGGAAAAATTAGAAATGCGTGCTTAGTTTAGGTTTGGGGATGTGCAGGCACTTATGTAGCTGCAGCACACTGATACCGTCAGGCCCATTGTGATCATCCACGAAAGGAAAAGAGATAAGTAGGATCTAACTTGTAAGAAGGAAAGTTCAAAATAGTATCGATGGTTATAGAGATCGGACAGAAGATATATTACGTGTCAAGGTTGCACTTTCCCAATCACTTTAGGTTTCTAATTATGTTGGAGATTAAAGCAGGTTCAGTTGTTGGGAAGGGATGTTTACAGTAGCCTTTTCCTTTGCCTTTTGACTAGGTTTAAGCTTCGAGTTAGGCTTAAGATCAGAAGTCGGCTTAGCACCCTGTCCATCTGGAGTTCACGGTGGAGAGAATGAGAATGAAATCTCAACTTGCCCTTGTCTCGCCCCACGAATTTGCGGAGATACGAAACTGCACGTTTGTAGTGTTTCGCATCAGCTACTTCTCGCGCCTTCCCAACATTCGAGCCGCTGTCCTTTGCGGGGGCCTCGACAGATTCCCCATCGTCGGACATCGCCTCCGTCGCAGATAGCCTCTGAAGTTTATTTTCGGCAAGTATGTAGTCAGACTTGTTAACTTTATGCTACAACAATCCCCTGTGTATACTTGACTGGGATCACCGTGGTGTCCAGCCTATCATCAGTTAGGGTGAGATTCAGTAACAGTTCCTCCGGAAGCGTGCTTTCATTGTAAAAAAATTGCGGATAAACTTTCCGCACACCTGCATCACAACCTCGTATATACGTGGAATGAGTACTTATGCAACAGGCGGAGGAGGAATTTTTTCGAACAAAATTTATTCCGCAATGATACACAAAATTGTCGTATTTGAGGGTCTGAGAAGAAATTAATGGAAAGACATTACATTCAGAAAAAGTCCCTGTTTGGTGCGCTATTAGATGCGAAGGTGTGTGCATCAATTCAGAGCATCATTGTCATGTTTGAAATGACTTTTTTTGCTGCTATTAAAGAATGTATGGTTTCAAATAGACGTGCCACATGCAACACAAGCAAGTGCCATGGCCAACCTCAAATCCTCATGCAAAAGAAGGAGAAAAGGTTTTATTGTAAAAGTCGGCTACATGACTTTTACAATAAAACCTTTTCTCCTTCTAAAAACAAAAAAAGATAGTAAAGGTACCGGACCGCTGATTTCACAAACTCCATTACTCTCGAAAATATCAACATCCGGCTTCAAGCGGCACGTAACAATATTGCGCCCAACGTGGGGCCGGCAAGTTTTTTGAAAATTTCTTACTTAAAATTCGACTCTTTCAAAAGAAAGCTACTCCGTTATGTGTGTGTATCTAATCGATTCAAAAGTTAACTAATTTCTTGTAGTGCAAATTGTCCATTTGGCTGTCTATTAGAACACCAAAGACCAATAAATTACTGTCGATACTCCCGTCCTCAAGAAGACTATCTAAAGCGGATATAGTTTGAATAATTTATTGCACAAACCCTATACTACGCTTAAAATAAAAAATAGCACTTCATTTACTACTAATGTCCAGATAAATCGGTTAGACAACTAGGCTTTACATAGCACAATAAACAATTAAAATCTCGGTTTCCAAACATCTGAAAAACTTCTATACTACATTCATCCACGATAACAGTATACAGGTCATAGAGCTCCCAACAAATTCCTTTTCTCTTCCTTTTTGTCGCAATAAACTAGATATTTGTCCCTATCTGCTACGTATGTTGCTAATATTCGTATAGAATCATACCACCATCGGTTTTAAGACAACAACCTCGGAAATAACCGTTGAAAATTCAAACAGTTTAAATCCTGTAACCGTTTACGCTGCGTATACCCCCTTTCGTCATACACCCAATCAATTCTTAGGCATCTATATTTCGAATTTTAAATCCCTATAACGGTCAGCTGTTTTGCAACATGCTCAGTTTTTATTATATTTCGTCACATGCATTTTTATTTTTTTAATTCTTTTACAGCCTATACTCCCTTGGAAGTTTGAAAACAACAATGCCCTTTTTGGATGACAAGGTGCTGGCGGCATTTCAACGGTGGGGGTGGGAGAAGTCACATCCCTCCTTAGCATTATACCCAGGCTCCCTATGCGATATTAATGAATATTTTTATGTGGATATGGTAGGCTCCATGGAGGTCCCATGATAGGCAGTGAAACTTCCAGATTTCTGAGGTGGATACAGGTACTAATGACCTTTCCCCATCGAAATATGGTATCATGATTTACAGTTTTGCCCAAAATCTATCCTGGTTAAGAATAACGTTTAATAATATTTTCTAATGTACTCTATTTTCTCAGGATGAAAAAATCGACGAAGAGTCTTCAACTGAAGTGATTAATGATTAACTGATATTCATCCTATCAAAGTAATAACTTTTCATATACATCTTTCAGGAGGGCTCTTGTATTAATTACCCTTTTCTAAATATTAAATATGGTTTTTTAAATTGCATTTAAATTTCAAAACACTGTGTCAAGCTCTATGCTCTATCCAACAGAACTCAGCGAGATGTCTCATCATCAGTGTGACGACACAACAGTAGGAGATGTATGTAATGTAGTAAACAATCGAAAAAATTACAAACCTGAAAGCAATGTATCAGTTTGCCCAAGGCATTATGGGCACTTTTATTATCAGAGAAATGTTGTTGCAAATCCCAGAGGGACATTGCAAATGCACTGAAATATTAAAGAAAGAACAAAAAAAGGAAGACGAAAATGAGATTAAACAAAAGAATACATAAAAAAGTAATAATAAAGTACAGTAACAACAGCAGTACATATTGATCACTTGTAAAATTTAATTGAAATTGACAATGTATTTACTTTAACACTTACCTTTGATTTTTAACATATTCTTTACCCGATTCTACAGCTATTGTACATAGTTTGATTATTTTCTCTAACTTTTGTTCCAGATGTTCAATATCTGTCTCTTCTTTGGATACAAATTGCCTAAGAAAAGAAGGAAAAAATTGAAAGAAAGAAAATTAATTAGCATAATTAAATGAGCAATGTTTGTGAGTATATGTAAATGATTATAATAGTAACAACGGACGAAATAACAACGGACAACGACGGAATTTTCTATGCTATGATGTATGCGACTAACTTGAAAAATCACCTAACATACCAACAAACCTTTTTTTGTTAGGTTCTAGGACATATTAAAAAAAATGTAATAAAAAACATGATGAGCTCGCAGTCGTCCAATGTGCATATTGAGGGATATGTAAGACCACCAAAATCCGCAACATCTGAGACGAGAAAACTGACAGCAAATGGTTTGAGCGGCCTGGATGTAGAACTTATAAATCAATCTGACCGGAATATTTACGACATAGAATTTCCTCATTGCTATCACAAAGGAAAATGAGATGAAGCTCAATATATGAATCATAACAGTTCATTGTACGATTACACCTCTCACATTCAATTAGAATATAAATGTGTGGAACTACTGCCGTTTATGTGAGAATGAGGAAGAACTGAAAACGATCGCATATCTACTATGTAGATGTCAAAAGGCACCCACTAATTTGTATATACGAGATTGATCTAATTTTCTACTCCGAAAAATATCCTATCAAAATACATAGCTTTGTCAAAACCAAGACAGGTTTAGCTAAAGAACCTAAAATATGGTGGAGAGAACCTGGTTGCAGAGTCTCAAAAGCTATCTGGACTGAATTCTCTCGCCGAAGAACTTTTTCGCTTTTCTCACATAATAAGAGAGAGAGAGAGATCAAAATCATTGTGGGGATCATAGCAGGTCACTGCAGGATTAGATCCCTCACTTTGAAATGGGACTCCAGCGGACAGGTTTACTGTCGTCTATGTGAGGACGAAGAAGAGTTAGAAACAATTGAACATATCCTCTGTAGATGTCCATCGCTGAGTGGCAGAAGACACAAACAGTTTGAAAGGTATGAATTTGAAAATATAGCTTTCTTTTCCAAAATAGACCCCAATCAGATCCTAAGCTTTGTCAAAAATTTGGCATGGCTAAAATAACCATCTTCTAGACTCTCCTACTCCTACTATTTTCTCCTCTCTTCCACTCTCTCTTCTTTTCAAGTATCAGGGATGAACACAATGAACAATAGTCTCCGAGTGAACGGTTGTTATTAACAACCGTACATCCCTAATCTACATTACGTGCCAAGGTTGCACTTTCCCAGCCACTTTAGGTTTCTAATGATGCTGTAGATTAGAGCAGGTTTCGTTGTTGAGAAGAAACCAAGACTCGGTGGAAAGTGAACACCCACTATTCTGTGCCGTCTAGAGGGCAGGACTGGGCAGCGACACAGGAGATGCTCAATTGTCTCCGTCTCCTCCTCGTCAATGCTGAGTCTACAGTAATCAGTAGCATCATGGTCCCATTCACTGGCAAATACCCTGACATTGCAATGGCCAGTAATGATTCCTGTCATTACTCTTATTTCAGCTTTGCTCAGGTTCAACAATGAGTGTGTCCCTAGAGTCGGCCAAAAAGATCTCTTGGCGCATTGCACCTAGGTTCGTTGTACCAAATTTCATAGGCTCTTCTGTCGAAGAACTCCTCAAAGCTCCGATAAAGATGACATATGGGTGGTTTTATTGAACCATCAATTGCTAGATCTGTAGATTGAGATCCTCGTCTAATTCGTCTGCTCTTTCATTACCCATGATGTCACGGTGGTACCCAACACAGCCGATAGCTTTAAGTAAGTTCTTCCAAAACTGTTCCACACTTGATGACGGCCTCAGATTTGATGAAACAGGATTTAATGGCTTTAAGAGCCGCTTGACTATCCACAAAGATAGTCACCGGTTCAACGATCTCTGCATCCAGATTTTTATCAATTCCTTCCCAATCGCGAAGATTTCAGCTTGGAAAACGCTACAGTTGCTATCCAGCTTGTAGGTAAGCTCAAGGCCTAGCCTTTCATAGTAGACGCCAGCCAGCTGTACTTCTTCCATCTTGGATCCCTGTGTATAGAAAGCCAGACCGTCCAGAGGAGGGTTACTCCGGTTCCAGTCGTCCCTACTAGGAATAACGACATCTACATCTAGGACAAATCTAGAACTGGTGATATATAGTCGCTTAGTTTTACGCATTGATCCAATGTCATACCTGGTTCCTTCAAGATACAAAGGTACAACTTCGCCAAAGATTTTTTTCATGCAGCCTTAGGCGACTGCGCTCTGCCTGACAATGCTGAGGCCCAGAGGCCTTAAGTTCAGCATAGCGTTCAGAGCTGCTTGTGGGGTGCTTCTGGCGGCTCCTGTTATTAGAATCTAGTTTGCTGGATGTCGACTTGTGGCGCAGGCAGTTCCACCAAACAAGATAACCATATAAAAGGATGGCTTTACCGCGGTGTTATACAACCAGGGTATAGTCGACGGTTTTAGCCCTCAACTTTTCCCAATGGAATTCTTGTATGCATAGAGTACAATCACCCATCTATTCACCCGTTTCTCAGCGTTCCTGTTCCATCGTAATTGACAGTCCAGGATTGTGCCAAGGTACTTTGCTTCGGGTGATAGATGAAGATGGAGTGCAGCTTGGAGCAAAGACGTCGAGTTTATGCTTCCAAGGGAACATTATCAGTTCCGTCTTTGTTGGGTTTTCACAAAGGTCGTTCGCCTTGTCACAGCGCGACAGCGTCAGTAAGGCTCTTTGCAAAAGCTCCCAGATTGTTGACGGAAAATTTCCGGAAATCAATATCACCACATCGTTCGCATAAGCTACGACCTTGATACCTTTTCGGTCCAGTTCCATCAGTATGTTGTTGGTGCGTGACATATATTCGGTATGTGGTAATGGTTCACGCTACTCCTCTTCAATTGTCAAGCCAACCCCACAAGCTTTACCCCATCTTCATGATAGAATCAAACTATACAGGTCACTGAAATTTAAATCAGTAGAATATAAACACCAGTAAAAGCTGCTACAACAACAAACAACGGGGAACAAAGCTGAATGCTATCGGTCTCGTCAACAGGTCGAATTAAATAAGCATTCAGGGCGGAGTCTCGGAGGAAATGACCGAGTACTTCTCAAAATCGAGCAGGAGAAATAGGCGCCCCAAATAACCAATCTTCATGCCTTAAGTGACCTCCCTAACGCTGGAGTCTTAGGCGACTTCGTACTCATTAGGGTACCGACAGTATTCAAAAGGAGCCTTGTTGATATCAGGCTTAGATGCGAAGTCCTTGTCATACTATAAGACTATGCTATGGACGACCTCAAATTCTTCGACAAGTACAGCTTCGACAGTAAATTTAAGCCCCTCAACGACATCGACCGCTGCTAACGTATTAATGGGATATTCTTTAAATCCTCCCAACCCGATTATTATCGATGACATAAACGCCAACATGGAGAGGCAGACTGACCTGCTATTCAATGTAATTGGGGAAACCATTGCTTTACGTCTCAATTATGAGAGTATCCCGACCCACCTCTGAGATGATGGAAACTTCAACTACTGCAAGGCGGCAAGTTGCAAATTGATGCTACTAAAGCAAAATACCATTAAGATGAATGTTGGTGCCGCTGATCTGCCAATTGAAGTAATGTATGAATCATCAGCGCAAATGTCTACCAGAGAATAATAAATTTCTGCAGTCGGTTTATTGAGCGGAATGGAAGCACTCTGACCGATAAAGAATTTCTTCATACTCACGTTTTTATTCGGATGTTCACTTGAAACTACCCGAATAGTACTGCGATTGACTACTTGGTTGAAAGAATTCAGACATCATGTGTAAAGGTGGCTCAAGTTTAGCCTCTAATGGAGAAGAAGACTCTGTGTAGACCAATCACGATTGAAAAAAATAAGGATCTTATATTTTGGGGAGTTTTCCGAGTGAGTTTTTCCTTCTGTTTTGCCATTTGAAAAATTTCGGTCGTCTTTAGCAAAACTTAAATTCAATTGAAATTTCTCCGCGACCTAATGTTAACACCCTTTTCCATTTCTTTATTTTTCTTTTGCAATACCAAAAATATAAGACCTATAAAACGGGTTCAGTAGAAGTAAACAATAAAGAATATTAAATTTCGATACGTTTGCCTCTTCACACCCCCTTTTTAAACAAAACGGTACATCATTTTTTTATTCTGTATTATTGTTATTATTTACTTGCCATTATCTCTTGCAAAACTTTCATTCACAATTCAATAAAGGGGTTTCGTTCGATTCGATATGGTGGTCGGTCCGTCGGTCGCCACTTTTACCATTCTTGTCATCACTTCATATGTGTCGTGCTTGCTTCTTTGCTTAGCTGTTGTTAATAATAGTTTGTTATTTGTTTTTCTAAGCTTGTTATCATCAACGACGCTACGACAACAGTAAATAATTATAGATTCAAATATATGCTGAGAGATATGTCATAATATGTATATCGCGCGATAAAAGAATATCAAATAGGTATAATTATTGTTGACAATTTTGGTTTTTGTATTTTTAATTCAAATTGGATTTAAATTATATTTGTTTTGTTCTTTATTAAATTAATTAAAGAAAATATTGAATAACTTAAATTGGATTTGAATTGTATTTATTTTTCATACAAATTTATAAAAATATATACAGGTTCAAAACATTTATTTATTTTTTTTTTTATTTGATTCAAACCTACACTAATTGAAGAACGTCCCTATAAAATATCAAGTGAAAATCTCAACAATTTTTAGATATATAGCCTATTTATTGCGTCAGCATCGTGTGGCGGCTTTGGTGCTTCTCAAATTTTAAACCAGGCCACTGTGGGTCTAATAGGATAGAAGCATTTTCGATGCCCTTTTCGAAAATGCATGCCACAATGTGACAGACCCCGCCATTTTCCCACAGTGGGACCTAACCTATTTTCCCATTATATAGAATTTAAGTCAGACCACTGTGGTCTAAAAATATGATAGAGCATCAGAAAAATTTGGCCTAGAAGCATTTTCGATGCCCTTTTCGAAA